AAAAGTCATTATAGTCTCGCACAGACATAATTATGGTCTACAGTACTCCTTGTCATAACTACGCATTTTCATTTTGGTAACTTTAGAGATATTCGCACTTAAAAGTTTACCTCACTAGCTCGGAAAGACTTTATTTCTCATTAGAAATCTGCGCGCAAAAGCGTTTATGAAATTCGAACTTGATGATGGACTGTGGTGCATCTCAACTTATTCTTTCAAAGAAAAAAAAACAATGACACGTTTGGTTCTGGTCTGCGTGGTATCTTTAGTACTCACAGTGCAGGATATTTTATTTTTTAAACATTGGTTTTATTTGTCAAACTTTACGTAAACAAACTTCCTAGTCATTATCAAAAACCTACAAAATTCATTTAGCGTAACTTTGTAATGTTTCTAGAAGTTCTAGAATTCAGATTTCCTGCTTCGAGAACAAACCCTGCTACCGACACGTAAAACTTTTCTAACAAGGTTTTTCCATTATCTCACGGTACCTCGGTTTTAATCGAATTGTTGAATGTCACGTCAGACTGAATTTCATTATTGCTGGGGATCGAGAATTGCCCTGTGACCTTTTTGGTCTAGATTTTTTAATTAAACTGGCATATTGGATATTCTACATTTTTAGCGCCTTGTTAAAACTACTCTGTAGTCTAGATTTTATAAATAAAAAATCTTTGTGGGAGAGTAGAAAAATAGAGAAAATTTGGTATACCTTCAAAAGTAACTTTATATTCATTTTGAACTGAAGTTTTCAAAGGATGTGACGACCTCGGTGGCCAAACGTTTTGCGCTTTCGGCACTGTATGAGGAAGTCCCGTGGTCGATTCCCGATAGAGCCAATTCGAGAAATAAACTTTTCTAAATTGGTTCCAGTCTGGGTGTCTGGGTAGTGCCTCAGTGTGAATTCTGTCTCCGTGTCAAATTTTATTTTTCGCCACTTTTCAATATGGCTGCCTTATAAACTTTTTTTGGCGGTAGATAAAAATTTCAATCATAATTAAGGGTAAAAATTTTGTTTCCGCCGTTTTTCGAAATAGCCGCCATACAAGCGTTTTTGTTTTTTTTTAATATGGCCGCCATTAAAGAGCTATTTTAATTTTTTTAAAACAAAGTCATAGTCATGTAGTGGAAATGAGATACTTATAATAGCGTTGTTGTGTCTCGACCGTCTCTCTGTTAGATTCCTTTTTTTTTTGGAAGCTATGCCAAAGATAAATATTTAGGGGGAAAAAATGCCAAATTTCAGCCGAATTTCCTGTACTATAAATACCAGAATAATGATAACTCAGAGGGCAATGCCCGGAATACTCAGACCAAAACCAACTTACAAATGTTCTTTTCTTAAATTGGCCCAAATCGGGAATCGAACTTCCTCATCCAGCACGCATAGTACAACCGCTGTGCCACCGAAAAGCATGAGCACACCCCGTAATCTGAACCCGCCCACGCGCCGCAGGCCGAGCTCTATCACAGCGTGAGTGGGGTACAGAATCGTTTATTATACAACTTCTGCGTACTTGGATGACAAAAATCCGTGGTAGCGACCTGTGTAGCTCTTTCAGGTAGTCTCGATCTAAGATGTTTAAATTAAATATTGTAATGATAAATATATTTAAATGTTTATTTACAAAGAGCAACCTCTAGAGTTTCTTGCTCATTGTTCTCAGGGGAATCTGCCTTACGAATAAGTAGTAGAGTTTAATCAATATGACGATTTCAAGTGTAATTCTTATATATCTATGAAATAAAGATTGTTTGACTTTGAGTAGCACTGCAACTGTCATGGATAGGTGTGTCGCTTACCACCAGGCGCACGACTTGTTCGTCCCGTCACTTGGAACAAAAAAAAAAGGGTTTCCCTAGTGCGGTGCGGGGCAATGAGTGTGTGTGTTATTATTATTATTAATTCCGTTGGTCTGGTACAGGGAATTCCTTAGTTTGAGACCAGGGGGGTGATTCACGTAATCGTAGCGACTTAGTCGTTGAACTGTTTTTTCGTATTCACGTGTGACAGTGAACGACAACGAATCCAATTTTAAAGTCGTTCGATCCAAATGTCGTTAAAGCGTATTCTGGTATATGAATCGACGTTAATTCGACTCTAAACGACAAGTCATACGTATTCTGCTAAAATTTTGACAGTTCTTTCAATAGACTTTCGACGTCTAAATGTCAAATTTCACAATCCCAGATATTCATTTTCATCGTTCATTACTCGTTACGTTTCGATTCTACTCATATCAACGTTCGTTCAAGTGATACGTGAATAGCCATTTTGGATAGGACTTCGATCGAACGACTACGTAACTTCAACGATATTTTGATATCTTGAACTTAGGTGAATCGCACTACAGGTGATCGATCTGGTTGTCTAGCATGTTATTATTATTATTAACCGCAAACCGTAGTCTATCAATTAATTTACGTTTCACTGTTGGGCACGGGTCTGAGGGTCGTATTCTAGAACTCTACTCAATGCTCAAGTCAGGATTGCACTGGAAACACAAGCACTGGAAATACAACCCTAATGGCAGGGGCTTGAGTATGATTTCGAGTGCTTTAAACCATACTCAAATCTTGACTTGAGCATTGAGTAGAGTTCTAGAATACGACCCTAAATCTCCAGATATGACACTGCAACTTTAGCGCATTTAACAATCCAACGGTAATGCGTGAGGATCACAGATTTTTTTGGGATGGCCTGTTGAGTAGTGGACTTTCAGACTTTAAACTGTGGACATATTGTTTAAAATCTAGAATGTAACAGTTAACTACGCATGTGTCACACGCGACGTTATTGGACTAAATTTTCCATTCATGAAAGACTATTAGTGATGTGAGCGTGTCGAAATTTAGTATCGATAAATAAATATTTGAGATTCAATCGATTTGGCACATTTAACTGGATTTACTTAGCGTCAATGTTGTACAGTTCAACAATATGTAATAAATAATCAGAACAAGATAAAAATAAAATAAAAAATTGCTATTTTTTTCTAAGAGAACTATTGATGATAAAAAATTTAATCACACAGATTAAGTGGAATAAATTAATTGGAACAGACTTTTTAATAATTTATGTAAAATGGATTCGCGGCAGTGTACGTTTACGGGCGACATGCATACTCGTAGTTTCAAGAAGTAGTTTTTGTTTGCTTAGTTTAGTGAAATTTATTAAAGACACTTTTAGATTAAATGCGGCATAAAAGTTAATAATAATCTATTTCTTATGAATATCGCTTGTACTTGTAACCTAAAGATAAAATTATCCATGTGACAATCTTATTAAATGATATTTTTTATGTCTTATTAAAGATATTTAAAAAATAGGGAATAAAACTGTTTCGTCAGATGTAAGTAGCTTATAATTGTTCAGGGATGATTTTACAAATAAATTTAAAGGGTTAATAAAATTGGCAATGCAGAAAATCAGAGGAAATAAAATTTATAGAATTTACATATATTATTTTATAAATCTTAAAACACTGAAATTGATTTTTTACCTAAAACTCAACCTTAAACTGATTTTTTTGCTCACTTTTTCACTTCGTTAACTCCGTTCGCTATGAATTTGAGTGTATATCTTCATGCACCTATTTTCTGTAAAACTCTTTCCTAGTGGACGGTCAAAACTTTTTACTCCATTCCACTGAGCTATTTCCGGCTCATTACCTTTTAGCAATAGTAAATGAAAACGTAAGGGTCCACTGAAAATCAGCGTCACAGCCTTTTCTCGGCGGTTTTGACATCAGCTGAGTGGATCCTTTTACATACGCCACAGCCGCACACATGACATTTACCTTGTACACAATAGTGTTGACTATCTTTGTGTAATGAAATGCATTACCAATTACTAAGATTATTTTTAATTCATTTTATTTAATTTTTTTTCTTATTCTATTTCATCTTTATTTTAATTTAGCTTAATTTTTTTTATTGTCTCATACTGTGTATTTTTGTGTTGTGGCGTTTTGTAATAAATGGTTTCTATTCTATTCTAAAAAGGAGTCTTCACGTAAGACGTATTTATTATTCATATTCATATCAGACGTATACTGGGCAACCATAAGCGAGAACCTTACGCCAATTGGCAAATCCATTCACCTCGATTAAAGGACACTCGTGGTCAAGTTTTCGATCCCCAGTCGGGTCAATGTCGAAAACTAATTTTTCTATATTGTCTCGGGTGTTTGTGGTGCGTGCGTTAGTTACTTTGAAATCGGAGGTACAAATGTGTTTTTGTCTAATATTTATATTTATTTATCGAAACTATAAACAGGAACACATTCACAGTAAAAGGAATAAGTATCCTAATTCGATGTCAAGAAAGGAGGACAACGTTTTTCATTTAATTGAAGAACTATTTTGCTTCCATTCCCTGCAAAAACACTTAACGTCTATCGATAAATCGAATAAAACGTCACTCTGAATCACCTCGTCTATTCATACCGTCTCGCTACTGTGAACAAACGGTTAAATTCAATTTAGTTTCGTGCTTGCTATGTTTGTAGTGTACATACTTTTCCTTGCAGTTTTTTATTTCTAAGACGTGTGTTATAATAAAGAATGAAAAACAATTCGGTGTTTTTTAAAGTATTTATAAATAAGTCCCCATGTGATTGTGAAAAAATTAAGTAGAATATAGATGATTATAATTTTAGTTAACAAGTTTTAGGGTTCGTGATTGTTACACAAAGAAAATGAATCGCTTTTTCAAACAAACCAAAGTTTCGGGCCCTTTGCAGGTCATTGTCCATATGACCACAGGACCTGTAGGGCGTGAAACGTTGGTTTGTTAGAAAAAGAAATATACGCTAGATACGAAAAAATAGTTTAAATGCCTATGTATAACAATAGTTGTTTAATTAGGAGACATGTAACAGTCTAACGACGACGCTCTGTAGCGTGGTTTCTCATTAACAGAGACTGGGACAGCGTGACAAGACAAGTGTTGTTTTTTTTATATATAAGTATATCCAGATCTATGTTGTGTTTGGCAGTGTTGGTGGTGTGTTCCGTGCACAGTCTCCAGTTGGATAGTCAAGCGTCTACGAGGAAACCAAGGGTGACGAAGTATAGCAAAACTACTGCAGCGCCAGGGGGCTCGACGGTATGAATACTTTTATTATTTTTGTTTACTCTCGTGCTGTATGATGTGGAAACGGGGTTTTTAAAGCGATAGCCATTAACAAATACAAAAGAGGTAGAAAAGTACTTAATTAGTTATGACTTATTAGTGAGAATCCCGTATACAACTTCAATGATATAATATATTTAAAGATCAGTACTGGGTTTGGTCAATAAGCACTAAAAATACAAAAAAACTGGGATTTGCATAGATTTTTAACCTAAAACAATCCTGACATTCAATAAAATACTTAATTATAGTGAAGCTGTAAAAGTGCCTAACTGGGTGACGAAATACTTACATAGATTTCTCATAGATGGCGCTACGGCTAAAAAGTCGTTAAATGAAGCAGATAGAAAGATCCTAAAGAATTGAAGAATGCGTGAGGTCCGCTGGTTCGTTCCGTGGCATAGAATCTGGCACGGTTTGCTAGAAGACGTCGATTCGGAATTTTTTCTAAGTGTCTTTGTATTAACAATTTTAACAAACTAGTGGAGTAATTTTACAAAGAATAATTGAATATCATAGTGGTCAAACATCCTGATATTCAATAAAACACTAAAATACGAATTTAACCTAAAAAAAGGTGTTGCTGGACGGCAATGGACTCTTGGTGAACCAACCACGACCCAGGTATCTGAATTGTACGTAGAAAAGCCATGTTATTTTTCTAGCAACAGATTAATAAATTGTCTTCTTTTGTGTCATAATCAATGATCGTAATTGGTAGACTGTTTTAACCTAAACTTCTAGGAACAGAGACTATATGTGGGACTACATTAAGACAACATTTTTTGTCCCAGATCTATTCTGGATTCGGGACATCACTTAAGTACATTATACAAAATAACATTATTTCGACAAAAAATTACTTATAATACATGTAATTAGAATTATTAACATATGCATTTCAATCATATTTCAATGAACATTCCTCCGTGACCCTGAAATTATCGCATCGACGATAAAGATTATCAAACGATAATTTTTAACTTTCTGACTCGACTTTGAATCGAAATATTAGTAAAGCTCTAATTTCAAATCTCGATTCTTTTATTATAAAGTACACGCTATTTAATTATTAATACAATGATTGAACACTCACAAAAAAATCCTTCGTATCGGCCGGATTCGAACCGACGTCTTCTAGCATACTGTGCCAGACGCTATATCAACTGAACGCAACGAACCAGCGGACCTCACGAATTTTTCTATGTGCTTCGGTCGTAACTTTAATATTTGGTTTTTTAACGATTTTTTAGTCGTAATTTAGAGTAATTTCACATAAAAATAATTGAATACCAATTCAATAAAAATGTATACACACTATTTATTTCAATTATTAATGTAGCGGACTGTATCAATGGTATTCAGGTTTTTTTTCAAACAATAATAATAATAAATAAATAAATAACGCACACACTCAACATAGTCCCGCACTAGGGAAACCCTGTGTTGCGGGTGCCATGGTCACACACATAGACAACCACAAATTACATCCAAACTCACGAGAGAAATAATTGTAGGCCATACAAATATTCCTCTCGGCCCGGGAATCGAACCTGGGACCTCTGCGTGGCAGTCCGGCATGGTAACCGTTCGGCCACGGAGGCAGTTAACAATATCAAGTGACGGGACGAACAAGTCGTGCGCCTGATGTTAAGCTACTCGTCTATCCATAACAGTTGTAGTGCCGCTCAGCGCTTTAAATCGCAAAGATCTGAGGGGCACTACCACTGCGGCCGATGCCCTGAAATCAGTTGACAAGTCCCATGTGCCTGTAATTTCCTTAATTTTTTGCAGATGTGATAGTGCGAATTTAACGATATGCCATGTCATTTAAGTCAAACTAAGTGACAAAATAATTTTTCGAAATATCATAAAAAACTATAACCCACTTTTAGAATATTGATATTGTTTAATGATATTTCAGCTGCGCATCGTTAGGGTAAGTTCCGATAAGGCGAACACGTTAACTGTTTATGTAAGAGAATAGCGTGCTGTATTTGTTGGTATTTAAAACGGTTATTTGACCACTTCTCACTTAGCCGCCTTTTAGATAGTGGACGGCAGCAATGGAACGGAGATTGTTATTTTAAGTTTCATTTATATGTCCTTAAATATGACGTGTTTCAGGAGCCAGCCACAGAACGAAGTCTAATGACAGCGACGTACCGGTTGGCGCCTGGTGGCGAGACATGTATTTTGATGACAGTGGACGCGTTATTGGACATTTCCTATGTTACTAAGCTAAACGAACGGGCAGTAAGTATCAATTGCGTTTTCGTATTTCTCATTCGCGTTTCAATGAATCTTGGTGCTGGTATTTATAATGATAATATTATTTGATTTGACGTTGAAGGAGCTGATTGATGTCCATTGTTGTCAATAGCGACGTGTAATAATGAAAAGGATAATTTTACGACACGACTCGGCATTTGTTTTCCGAAATTCGAAATTTAAAAAATTAAATCTGACACGATCGTCACTTATAGGATCGCTGTCCGGTACAACTTCTACCTCCGGCAAACTCGCGTCAATGCTCAATGCAAAACAAAGCAGTTTCAAATTGACGATATTATTCTAAGTTGACGATATATTAAGTAAACATTTTTATTTTCGTGTTATTAAAACTTTTCAATCGCTTACCCCTTGCAATACTATAGTCCACCTGTTTAGGTACCTAAATAAATGTAAACAATCTTGAGATGTCTATTTAATGAAATATACATTTATAAAATGATTTTCCCTTACCTTCAAATACAAAATACAAATACTTAGCTTCATATGAAATTGCATGCCTATTTTTATACCTATTGATTTGTAAAGCATGTGTTTCAATAAAAAGATGTATCAAGATTGTTTACATTTAGTTAAGTACCTAAACAAATGGACTATAGTTATAGATTTAAAAACTTATAGATGCGACTCGCATTTGTTTATATTATTATTATCGCATTTGGTTATATATATTATACAATATTGTAATCTGTCAAAACGTGCCTGTGTTGTGGTTGATCTAAGGATAAATTGTAAATGAACCGCTTTCAAGGTAATACAATAATTAAAAAATAATATTTGATTATCTATCTTTTTTTATTGTTTTTTTCTTTTAACGATTGATGACATTTATTTTGATATTGATCTTCTTATAAATCTTGGTTGCTTGGTTGCGCCCTCCATCCAGTAGGTTAAGATAGTATACGAATAAGCAGCTCGAGCCGAGGAGCGAGCGAAGCGAGCATGCCGCTGCAGCGGCCGGCGAGTGCCATCAGCCAATTTGATTGCGTTTACGTACATGTTTTCAGGTCAAATTATATTATAATTAGTATACAAATATAATCAACATTTAAAAATAAGTATCTAAATTTTATTTTTAAGGCCCAATGTTAAACTATCAAAGTTAATTTATTTTACGTCTCAGACAAAACGGGTGAATCATTAAAAAAGACTACGGTATAGATTTTTTTGTCTGCTGCTGTTGCAAATTTAAAATAATCACTTAAATACATGCCTATTTTATCGACTTTTCTGTATCATTTCATCTGATCTTACATATATTATTTTCTTTAATTATAAACACTAAGAAATATTCTTTCCATCCGACTGTCTCAATAGTTGATGTTTGAAATAAGTATTGTAAATTATAAATGTTTATTTACAAAGAACAAGAGTAGAGAGTTTCTTGCTCATTATTCTCAGAGGACTCTGCCTTACGAAAGAGCAGTAGAGTTTAATCAATATGACGATTTCAAGTGTATTTTACCTTATCATCTATGAAATAAAGATTATTTCAGTTAGATTGTTGTACATTTCGCCGCTTTTCAAGAATAGTGGCACAAATCAAAATAATTTCTATTAGTCTAATAACACATCAGCATTTAGAATGTGCTAAATTTTATTATGAAAAAGACACACCGAGTGTTTTATTGGTTATAATAAACAAGTGACAACATGGAGGTGTACGGTTGGTCGCCTTTGCACGTGATACATGCTTCAGGTCTTTCTAAAGCATCTTCCTGATGAATTAGGTTGATTTTGAAAACCATCGTTTTATAGAGTGATATTGTTCATTTTCAGGACGCGAACACATTCGTCCCAAACAACGCAAACGTAGGAGGAGTATGTAAGGATAGTGACGCCGAAACACTCGTGCTGTCTTTCAAAGAGTTTTCTTTAGAGTTTGCTTTTGCCAAGGTGAGTTGGTTTACCGGAAATGAATATTTTTTTTCGGATGAATCGTGTATTACTGTTAAAGTTCTGTAAAGAGTCAAAGAGACAATTAAATTATATGTATATACTCGCGATTCAGATTTAAAAAATACTTTAATTTCTGAAGTGAAGCAGTCGCGAAATACAAAGTAATGTCTGGGTTTTTGTATCAGTCAGCCATGACCATGGGACCTGTAATGGGCCCGAAAGGTTGTTTGTTTGAAAAAACATATATACGCGATTTAAATTCGAAAAAATAGTTTCATTTCCTATGTCTTTGTTTATTTTGCTTAAAAAAATTGAGATCACACACACACACACACACACACACACACACACACACACACACACAC